AGATAACGATAACTTATATATCGCAGCGACCACTCCGCTCCCCAGCCTTTCCTTAGGCTTGTTCTCTCTTTTACCACAGTCACAACAGTCTTCAAGCCTCGCATCAAGAGAATTAAGAACAGAAAACGGTATAGAGTCTCATTATTGGCGTCTTTGCGGTTGTAGTTTCTTAAGCTAGAGGGGGAGAATCGGAATCAGGATGGTTTTATCTTTTGGGTAGCTGATTCCGGTCTTCCAGCGATGTAGCATTTTGATGATGGAACTTGACTTGTTGGGTTTATGTGGTGAGCGTGTGGGGTAGGAGGAGGTTGCTTTTGTATGTTATGTATCGTCTTACAATTGAAGTTAATGCCAAACGCGTTGATATATTTTCGCAATTGAATTGGGTGCGCAGAATCTCTTGTTTCAGGCAACGGTAAAGTCCACACTAGCGCAGATGTGGATGTCATACTGACATCTTCAACAAGTCGGATATGGTGTAACGGTTAACATTGCTGTCTTTCACACAGCGGCCCCGGGTTCGACTCCCGGTATCCGAATCATTTTTTATTTAGGATTTGATTTTGAGGTTTAGGAGTCTCAGTGATAGACCCATTTTTTTTTTCAAGTTGGAGGTCCGAGCAGCAGCTGAATGTTGACACCACGCGTAACTTGCGCCTGGACTAAGGGCTGTAGAATGTGAGCTTAGAAGGTCTTCCTTGCGAATAGAAGTGAGGGCCGATGTGCATGGTCCATCATGATGCTTGTAAAGTGGGAACATTATATATCAAAGCTAAGACATCTTTATGCTTGCCGTTTGTCCTTCCGGTAGCGGGATTCAGACCCTCATGGTGAGACTGCAACAGCAGAGTAGCGATGCGCAGAAGTTCCGTTCCTAGAGCGTACTTAAGGTTGAATGTACAAATGAAACTTGTGACTGAGTCGATGTTTTATTACGCGTCGTACACCTCCCCCTAGTCATCACCAAACTTAGATCTCACCAATGTCAGACAAGCGGAGAGCAGAGATCGAGGCTAAACGTGCAAAACTCGCTGAGCTTCGGAAAGCCAGGGCAGACCGTCAACGAGCAGAAACCGAGCGACGGCAGCAGAAGTTTGTCCACCCTTCTCCTTACTCTTACAAAGCTCAAGCTTCTCTAGCCCGGTCCGTCTAGCGGAGCCCGCCGCGACGTTGATGACCTCGTCAACCAACTCGTCGGGAGCCGCAGTGGCCTAGACACAGGCGGGGACATCACCCCTTCCTCATCCCTCCCCAACACTCCACCCCGACCGTCTACAAATTTACTCTCCACGGCTCGGCTCTCTCACCGTCCGGCAGGGTGAGCAGGCAGCGATGTCGGAAGCGATAAAGATAGAGTGAGTATGGGTACGACTATGGTGGGGATGATGGAGCATGTCGATAGGTATGTGCCCACCTTGGTCTCTTTGACGCTAGCGGTCCTACTGATGCTACATGAAGGGTGTTGACCCCGAGGTTCATACCAGACCTTATAGATGTCGAGCAGGAGCTGTTCGAGCTTCCGCAACGCGTATGTACTTCAGTCCCATCCCTTCCCATCTAAAACCCTCATTCATACTCAGGAACGCGTCATCTACAACAAAGAAGTGCAAACGACAGCCATAGAAACTGAAACGCCCCGAGTATCAGAGGATGAGATACGACAACAGATCATGCTCGAACGGGAGTTGGAGGCGGAGAGGATTGCCCAGGACAAGGAGCTTGAGGAGAAGTGTGCAGCTTGAGAAGGAGATTGAGCAGGAGATTCGAGGTGCGCACTCCTTCCCTTCCCCTCACTTCACTCTGATACTTCGCAACTGAGACGATCACAACTCTCAGAACTTACCGAAGAGGAACGCTCACATATACTCAGTGCACCTGAGTTCCTGGACTTTGTGGAACAATCGTCAAGATCGTACAGCGCGCGTTGAACGATGGATATGATTACATTCGTGATTATACTATAGGCACGGAGGCAAATGGGTGTGTTTCCTTTAATTTTGTTTGTGTGCTGTCAGTATGTTAATCCTTATTTCAGGGATGACTCGGAGGGAAAGCGCGTCAAGCGTATTTGTGCATTCTATGATGAACGCTACGGCAAGAATCGATCGATTACAGATATTGATTGGTCGCCCAAGGTCTCGGACCTCGTTCAAGCATGATAATTCTTACTGACTTTGATACAGTACCCGGAGTTGAGCGTAGCGTCGTATAACAAGAACCCTGCTGCATTGAACGAGCCGGATGGGATTGTTGCAGTATGGAACCTTCACCTACTCGACAGACCCGAGTTTGTGTTCCATTCACAGGTCGGTGAGCATCTCTATAAGTGATGTGTGTGTTGTGACTGATATCTTGTCAAGTCTGATGTCCTCTCTGTCACATTTTCCCCGTTCCATTCAAACTTGGTGTTTGGTGGCACGTACTCGGGGCAGATTCTACTGTGGGATACGCGATCGAAACACCTACCTGTGCTCAAGACACCCCTCTCAGCTGCTGGACATACACACCCTGTGTACGCGATGCAAATGGTGGGCACTCAGAACGCACACAACTTGATCACTAGCAGCACAGATGGCACCGTGTGTAGTTGGCTTGTTGACATGCTCGCCCAACCACAAGTAAGCCTGTTTCCGCCAAATATGGATCTTAATTGACGCCTGACTCCTGAATCTGTCCCCAGGAAACTCTAGAGCTTATTCACGCAGGCCACAATAAAACAGGCGAAGTGGCCATCACAACACTAGACTTCCCGGACAATGAAACGACCACGTTTTGGGTCGGCACCGAAGAAGGCAATGTCTATCAAGCCAACCGGTACGACCGCGCGGGTGCAAAAGCCGGATTAAATCAGTATGATATTTATAAGGGACACGCGGGGCCTGTCATGGGGCTGCATTTCCATCCTCTTGTGGGACCTGTAGACTTCTCCGATCTATTCCTGACGGCAAGTGTGGATTGGACGGTGAAGCTTTGGCGTGCAAAATCACTTGCGAAACCGTCGACTGCCGCGCATGCTATTCTCCTATCTACTCCTTTGACGAGGCGGATGATTATGTGTATGATGTGAAGTGGCATCCAGCGCATCCTGCACTGTTTGGAACGGTTGATGGGTCTGGGAGATTTGATGTTTGGAATCTGAATACGGATACGGAAGTGAGTTTCGGTAATCTGATCTGGATCGGGCATAATTTTATGCCGTGCACGGGACTCCGTTTCTGACTTCCACTTCAGGTACCAATCGTCTCCACGAATGTCGGGTCCGGTCGAGCTATTAACAAGTTGCAATGGGACAGAAACGGACGGCGGGCCGCACTCGGAGGGAGCGACGGGAAGTTGTATGTCTATGATATCGGTGACATGGCGCTTCCACGTGAATCTGAGTGGACGGATCTCCAGAAGACGGTGGCGGGTTTTATTGGGGGTTCACAGGGAAACGGAGTGGTAGACGGAGATGCTACGCGGATCGTTGCTGGGCGGTGATCGCTTTCCTCCCCGTAGTTGTTGTTCCGTGAAGTTGATTGTTCTGTTTTACTACTCGTATGATACTTTCCGTGATTCTCTAGTCTTCAGATGCTCAAGTACGGAATTAGAGTGGGTTACACGGAACAGTAACAGCAGAAATATGCAGAGCAATTAATAGTATTACATACGAAATTTTTATCTGGGAACGATAGTGGAACAGCGATTCCGCCCATCCCGAAGGTACATAGCAGCTGTTTTGCCGTGTTATGTTTCCCAATGAGTGTCCTCCGCAACGCCTCCATCAAGACCTCCTCTTCCATCTCCTACGCACTTGCCAGTATATTAGGCCCTCCATTAACAATTCCAACTCGTAAGATGTCTACAGAGTGTCAGTTTGTTCAGGTGCGCGTCATTTTGGTTGCTCGAGTGTGTTGACTCTTGGGATTAACGTTGAGTGATAGGCTCCACACAAGTGAGTCATGATACAGGTCATGTAAAAGTTGTCCGGAGCTGAAAGCTCGCGTCTGTCATTTACAGGCTTCTGGTGTACGTCTATTCATGTCTTTGCCCACGTAGACTTTATCTCATCAGTTCTCAGCATCCCAGGACCGATTGAGGTCACGGATGAGGTGCGTCGATCCCCGAGTCCTTTCTGCACGCCCATGAACATGTTTATAGGTCCTCTTAGCCAATGCATCCATCAATGTCGCATATGTCACCCGACTTTGCAAGAGTCTTTGGTGACTGCATTCGCATGACTAGGCAAGGACACGAGATCATGGTTGACTTGGCAGCCGAACAATAAACTCACGCGTTTGTCAGACAACTTCTTTACTCAAAGGACGCGCAGCCGTTCCTGATCGCCGGGTCAGGCACGCTGGGATGGGATCAGGTATGTATTATATTCTTGTTTCCAGGGTACAAACGTGTACATTTATGGCGCCAGGTCTCTGCAAATCTCGTAGAACCGGGCGAGAACGCGCTCGTTCTGCATAGTGGTTATTTTGCCGATAGTTTTGCAGACTGGTAGGGACAATGATGGGGTAAGGCGTCGTAATGGTTGCTCATTCTTCATGGTTCTCTAGTCTGCAGACCTATGGTGCCAATGTCGACCAGATCAAGGCTGAGATTGGTGGTGCTGTTAAGGAGGCTGATATTGAGAGCGCACTTCAAGCGAAGAAGTACAAGATTGTTACCGTAACCCACGTCGACACCTCGACAGGTTAGTGATACTTTTCGGGGTGCCTGGTCCTATATGGGCTCCTGATGTCGGACTGATCTATCTTGGATAGCCGTTTTGTCCGACATCAAAGCTATTGCAAACGTCGTGAAGAGAGTTTCTCCGGACACACTTGTACTTCTCACAAGGACTCTTCAATTTACTTCTACTCACTGTGGGTGGATTTTAGGTCGTCGTTGATGCTGTCTGCTCTGTGGCGAGCGAAGAAATTCAAATGGATGCCTGGGGCATTGATGTCGTATTGACAGCCAGCCAGAAAGGTCTGGGCACGCCACCGGGTCTCAGCATCCTCGTTGTTTCTCAGAAAGCCGTCCAGGTTTGCCCTTTCCCAATATCACAGTGTACAGCTACTGACGCAAACACCCAAGGTATTCGAGAACCGCTCAACGCCAGTTACGACCTACTACGCCAGTTGGAAGAAGTGCGCACAGTTCATGTTTTTACCTTAAAATAAATGCCAACTCCCAAATAGATGGCTACCCATAATGAAAGCCTACGAGAACAACTCCGCTGCCTACTTCGCCACGCCACCCGTCAACCTCATCTATGCGTTCCATGCGTCCCTCAAGCAGATCATGCAGGGCTCTGTTTCACTTGAGCAACGATTCAAGCTCCACCAGGAGGTCAGCAGACGCGTCAAGAAGGCAGCGGAGGAAATTGGATTCAAGGGCGTGCCTCTCAGTGAGGACGTCCGGGCGAATGGCATGTCGGCAGTGCGTACAGTACTTTGATTTACGACCGAGACGCTGATATCGCACAGCTTTACTTTCCCGACGGTTTCACAGCGAGCGATATCGTTCCTCGTCTGTTGAAGAAAGACGTCGTTGTCGCTGGCGGATTACATGCTAGTATCAAAGGTTAGTAATTTTTTTTGCGAGGAGTCTTTGTTACTGAAAATCATCCTACATCAAAACAAATACTTCCGTATAGGGTGCGTTGTTTTCTGCCCGTGAAATACTTATGGAGTGGTGTGCTGACACTCTTTCAGGCATATGGGTGTTTCTGTCGTTGACCCTAGTCGGGGGGACATTGACAAGATTATCAGCGCAGTGAAGGAGTCATTTGGCAGAAGCTAAGGCTAGCAAGCAGTAGAATTAGAGCAAGACAATTTTATGTGGCATATACGATACAAGAAGGAGTACATAAAACATCTCAATTTCATACGTTATTCACGACCAGCAAGTTGTACAATGTAAGGTGATTTGATACCAAAAGAAAGATTTCATAGATGTAGCAATTGTGGAGGCTTCATGCAGCTGCAGCAGCCTCACGATACTGTCCTTCTCCGCCACGCCGTCGTACCACTCTTTTCCGGATGTCGTTAAAGAAATATATCCCGCCCTGATAACAAAGTCACCAAAATGTTCGCCCTCGTTTCGCTCGAGCGCATATCGCTTGATCATAGGCTCAAGGATGGCGAGAATCTCGGGTTCCGATACTGTTTCCCGGTAAATCTTGTTCAGGCGCTGACCGTAGTATCCGCCACCAAGAAGCATGGAATAAGATCCAGGTGCTTTGCCTACGAAGGCCGACCTCTGCGGAAATGTTGAGCGATAGTTTTATCGAGGTGAGTGTATCTTACCAGCAACATATGGTCTTGCGCAACCGTTGGGACAACCAGTCATCCGCATGACAATGGAATCGTTGCGAAGCCCATTCTCCTCACAGATTTTCTCGACCTTGTCAATAAGCAGTGGTAGATACTAGAAGACGGTCACCATGAGATCAAAATTCATTAGGAATTCCACAAAGTGGCTACTCACACGCTCAGACTCAGCCATTGCGAGACCTGAATGTACTCTCATCTCAGAAGCGATACTTGTAAGTGCAAAAACTACTTACCGCAGGTCGGGAACGCCACACAAGCCGATGACGACAGAGCCGCAAACCAGTGTGGTTCAAGTTGTCCAATTTGTACTTGGCGAGTATTCTCTTGATCTCGGGTACATCTTCCGTAGAGATTTCTGAGACCATAATATGCTGGTTCGCCGGTTAGACGGAACGTGCCCTTGTGTATTTTTGCAATCTCGCGAAGACCGGTTTTAAAATCGCGGCCGGGCTCGTCCTGAATACGCCCGTTCTCGATGAAGAGCATAGCGTGGTGCCTGCCATAGTCTCCCGTTGACCAGCCAAAGTCGTCAATGTTACGGTCAAACGTGTATGGTCGTGCTGGGGCCAACGGATAACCGAGTCGACTCTCAACCTCTGCTTTGAATGCATCAGTCCCATCCGGTCAATGGTGTATTTCAATCGAGGCGTTTTTACGACTGAAGACTAATCAGAATGCGGAAGTGTGGAATGCTTGGAAGACTTACTCTGCACGATTACCGTTGTCTCGCTGTGTAAGCACGACCTTTTCTGCTACAATAGGACCTTCTTGGACAGTACAGAAACCGATTACATCCGCAACTCGAGGGTAAGTTTTCTTATTGCCGTGGGTTACTCCCATGCCACCACCAATAGTAACATTGAAGCCAGCCAACTCTCCTTGCTCATCGACGATGGCGATGAAGCCTAGGTCGTTTGCAAAGACATCAACGTCATTAGTGGGTGGTACCGCAACCGCAACTTTGAACTGACGCAAGATCAGGATCGGGTTGAAACGAGTGCAGCACCAAGCGTACCTTTCGAGGAAGATAGAACTCGCCATAGAGCGGCTCAAAGTCCTTGACAGCCTCGCCGGCAACCATTTTCTTGTCCAACCAAATTTCGTGGTATGCTGTTGTTCTAGGCAATAAGTGAGCACTGGACAAGCTTCGCGAAGCCGTAGACCTGCGCATGAAGTCGGGACAAAGAAGGAATAGCGGAACAGATAACATTCCTAAGGCAGACGTGAGCGAGAAACATCACCACAAGCCGCAGAACTCACCGATTGACGACGTCGCCACACGCAGCCAAAGTGTCCAACAAGACCTTGTTAATTTCCTGAATGGAAGGCTTCAAGTGTCGCTTGATTACACCGTGGAACTGGAATGTTGCTCTGTAGTGATCTTGAACGTCCCATTGCCATGTTCATCAGCGATCCGGTCCATCTGTAACCACTAGCTCAGGTGTGCATACACCACCGGGCGTACGAACGCGAATCATAAAACTGTAGGCAGGTTCGACGCCTTGAGCTTGACGCTCATCACGGATGTCGCGGTCATCTTGCTGGTAGATACCGTGGAACTTCGTGAGTTGGGTGTCACTGGGATCGAGAGCGCCCGAGCTAGTATCTTCGAGACCCTCAGCAATCGTACCGCGAAGGTAACCTGAGGCCGCCTTGATATGCTCATTAGTGATCGGGTCCGGTTCTGCTTCTTTCACTTCAATGCTGTCGACGCCGAACGTCTTCCACACGAGAGGCTCCCATACTTTGTACCCGGTGTCTGGTCCATCTGCATCCTGGTCATCACCGAGCCCGATATCTGCAAAGCGCTCTCCCCCAGCTGCTCCAAACGAGCATCAAGATCCTTGCCCCGGCTTGTTATAGTAGTGAGCATCTTCTGGGCGTGGCCAGTAGTGGCTGTCACCAAGGGCGAAGACCGAGTATCGAAGCTTCGAGAAAGGCTTCTCTCCACGAAGAGCAGCAGCGTTGAGTGCTTTAAACAAAGTCCGACCATTTTGTGGGGGTTCACCTTGGCCTGCTACAGATGTGACGAAGGCCACATATTCCTCTTGAGAGAGGGTATCGATGGACATAGAGTCGATGGTACCAATGGACGTTGACAAGCCTCTGGCTTTACCGCGGTTAGCCAGTCGCTTCGCAAACTTCTCTGCAGTGCCACCATCCGATGCATACAGCACTACCAACGGTGGCGCATCAAGCGAGACAACCAAGTCATCATATGCTTGTTGTGCCTTCCTCTTCCTCGCCTCCTTCACATTCTCGCCCAAGCTGCTCACCAGTTCCGTGGCAAGCTCGGGCTTAGAGCGCACGAGTTGCGACAAATGGTTCTGCCTGTCAAGGAACTGCTGGAGGTCATTCTTCACGGCGTCCGAGTCGAGCGCAAATGGCTCTTTGCCTTGCGCTTCCTTCACAGGGTCCCAACGGTAAAGAGGCCAGTACCCAGCGTCGACAGCGAGCTTGGTCTCCTTCAAAACCTCAAGTGCTGGTGCATCCTCATTTTGATAAGGCAGGTATGCGAGCACGACACTGGGGCCTTTGTGCCTGTCCGCCTCCATGACTGCTTGCAGTACTTGAGCGTACGACGAATACACTGCGACACTCGCTACATAGACATTGCCGTGGTTCATTGCGTACAGACCAGCGTCTTGCTTACGGCGGTGTGGATCAACGGAGTTCCGAGATGTGTAGGGAAGGGTGTCGATGATGAGAATGTTTATGTCGAGACCGGATGCGATGGCGTGGTGCAGACCAGAGGCGCCAAGATCATAGGACCAGGCGTCTGAGCCAATGATCCATCTTGAGCGTGTAGGGAAGTGTGAACGGAGTGAAAGAATGCGGTCGATGATAGGACTCGAGAACTTTGAAGACTCGAGAGCGGTGATGAGTTCTTTTCCCACTGAGCGACTCTTGCTATCGTCGTCCCTGACAAGGACCCACTGGCTACAAAGTTTATGCAGCTCGGGGGTGACTTCCTTGATCTCCAATAGCTTCTGCACAGAGCGAATGAGTTCATTTCGTTGATCGAGTTGTCCTCGAACGCGGCCCACTGCAAACTCCGGACTGGTGGCAATAGCACCTTGTTTAAGCACTAAATCAGGCGAATTGGAAACTTCGAAACGTTCGCCAAAGACGTGAGACAAGATCTTCGTATAAGATGACTCGTGTTTGGGTACGTGTGGCACTTCCAGCAAAAGATTTGAGGAAGCGCTGATGCCTCCAAGTTGAATTGGAGCAGAAGAGGGAGCTGCTTGGAGAAGCTTCAAAATTGCAAGGGGAGTCACTTGGGCAGGGTCGCTGAAGTAAACGCTCTGGATGTGGGGTCGCTGATCTACATCCTGCTGGTGAATTATATTGACAAGTTCAAGGTACAAAGGTGTCCATTTCGTGTTCCAGCGGTGGAGTTGCTCGAGAATGATGACACGTGATACAGATGGTGGAATGACATCGAGTATGCGGGAGGGGAGTAGGGGAGTGAGCAAGCTGAATGAGACAACTGACACTCCGTCAATGTCTGCAAAAGGAATATCGCCCAACCCAAAGATGATAGTGTGGGGTTCGCCAGAACCATGCACAGATAGTGGGGGGCATGCGCGACGAATGCGAACGACCGTAGAAAGCGCTGCGCGCTCGTAAAGCTTGAAAAGTTCTGAGCCAGGGGATACTACGGTTGTCGAATGACCGTTGAGACCGTTGGTGCCATTTACACCGTTCGCATGACTGTTGTGCCCGTTCGCTCCATTTGCACCATTCGCATGACTGTTGTGCCCGTTCGCTCCGTTGTGCCCATTCGCTCTATTGTACCCATTCACTCCATTGTGGCCGTTCACTCCATTGTGCCCATTCGCTCCATTGTGCCCATTCACTCCATTATGACCATTCGTTCCGTTGTGCCCAATCACTCCGTTGTGACCATTCACTCCGTTGTGCCCATTCCCTCCATTGGTTGACGCAAGCTTCTCCGAGAGAAGGAAAGGCTGCACCTCACTCTCCGGTATTACCTCCACTGGACTATTTTTTGCATCATAAAAGACATGCACGACTGCCTTCTTCTCCGTACGTGCCAACCGAGATGCCAGGAGTGAGTTATCGTGTGCTTGTTGGGGGGTTCTGGAGACGAAGAAGAAAGGGAGGGCAGAATGGAGCAGAAGGACTTCGGACAAGTCATTTGTCACGGCAAGATGCAAGACAAGGGGAAGTGAAGAAAGTTCAGCAGCATCCAGGACGAGCCTGGTTACGGTCTGTGCTGCTGCTGAAGAGGTAAACGAGATGAGTCCAGCAGCCGATCCGTTTCTGATTAATGTCGACCCTGGGTCACCGCCTAGGGGCACCGACAAGATTGTCGGACGTCGACTGGAAGTTGCAGAGAGTGAGCTATATTCTTTCGCGAATTGTGAGGTTGACGGAAGGATAGGTTGGGAATCTACGATGATATCCGAAGCCAGATAAGCTACCCGGGCCACACAGGTAGTACTCGACATAATGACTTTAGTGAATGTCGGCTGGAACACATTAAATCAAAGGTGAAATTGTCAGTAAGAAGAAGGATAACTTACCTTGACTGCAAACAGAATGGAGGGGGAGAAACTGAGGATGCAACGAGACCATAACGCTCAATTAATCAGATCCGATGACAGCGAAAGCACATCATTCTGATTCATTCATGTGCCATTTGTTTGTCCGCATCCCACCGAATTCCGAATTCAAGTTTGTGCATCACATATTCATATCGCAATGCACCCACGGTGACCTCCATTGACAGGTAACAGGTGACCTTACGAAGACTAGAACTGTACTAAAATATCATTCAACCTATGTATGAGCCATCGGAGCCCTTTGCAATACGGAACAGAGCGGAACATTCCCCACTGGAGCCATATTTTTGAATTCACATTATAGCCTGCTTGGCTTGCTCCTCCAGCTCATTCAGGTAGTGATGTGCTCTTCCAAGCATCCAGATGGGGAATGCAAATTTGAAGTTCGGGTATGATATAGTGCAATTTTTGTTAAACACTCCTTCAATCGCTTCCTGGGGCCATGATCCATCCTGCGTCATGGGTTAGCTTCTGAAGACCAGCATTATTTTGCGCTAAACTCACGGGTAACTGCCTATCGATGACCAACTTAATAGCCTTTCGGATAGGCTCGGGATCGGGATATTTCGCGTACATGAGGGCCATAGTCGCCCAACAAGTCTGTACGACCTGTGAGTTTTCGTGCTGTATCCAGGTACCCTGTTCGCAGGACTACGAAACAGATTAGAAATTTAGTCATGGATGTAAAATTGGGTGCACCCACTTTGTAACTTTCGCCCCAACCACCGTCTTCTCTTTGCCACGAGAGAAGGAACCTACACGCCCGTTGTGCGTGAGAGCTATTTGAGTAGTTCTCTCCAACTAGCGAAAGACTCTCAAGAGCAAACTGTGTTGCATATGTGAAGCAGATTCCCCAGGAGCCAACCCAGCCACCTTCGACTTTTTGCGCCTTGTGTAAGAACTTGATTGCACCTTTGATGGTTTTTCTGAAATCATGTCAGGACGATAAGTGGAGCAGCGCCTCCTTGCTCACTCAATCTCAGCAGAACGGTAGTCAGGATAGTGTTTCCTGAAGATGGCCAGCGATGTAATCACGGAGGTTGTGCACTCCGGATAACAGAACTCGATCATGATGTCACCTGCAAGTCGTCATTTGAATAGTAAAGTTATGAGGATGTATGACTTACCGAAAACCTCTGCAGGGTTCAGCCACTCGAGCCACTTGGGACCCCTGACTAACTCATAACTGGCAAAACCGCCATTCGGGTTCTGCATAGTTAGCATGACATCCACAGCATCAAAAAGTCGTTGGTCTGAGATGACTTTCTCTGCGCCTCTGTCGGAATGTTCAGTTGGCACTTCAAACAGATCACAGTAATACTCACTCGACTTGGTTTTGCAAATACAAGACCGCCTTCAGCCCCTCCCCAGTACAATCACTAACCGTATACCCCTGCTCTTTGGTGCTAAATGGCCAAGCTCCCTTTGTGGTGTGACGGTAAGATGTCTCGTAGTGCTTCGGGTTCTCTCTGATCTGACATATATCCAACCACCCAAGCGCCTTCGATAAACTCTCCTTATTCACCTCCTCCTTTGCAAGGCCGGTCTCAACGAGCGCCTGTGTAATGAAGCCAATATCCCACAGCTGGCTCCCATTCGTCCCGCACATCATCATGCCTTCCTGGCCAAGCCACATAAAGTCTGCACGTTTAATAGCGTGCTGCCTGTATGCTTCACTGTCGGGGCCTTCAACATGAGCACGGCAGATGAGGTTCATCATTTTAGAGACGGGCCCAATGGTCTGGTATTCGGTGTTCTCGTCCTCGAGAATGATGAGGTTGTATGCACGTGCGAGAGCTGCCCTGCGGAGGGGAGGGATGACGCAGCCCTCGTACATTGAAAGAATGGAGTTCATGAGATCCAGAACAGTGGTATGAGGTGAATACAGGTCTGCTACGCATACATTATTACGTTGTGAGGGCCAATGGATCTGATAATAGTTAGTCGGGTATAGTTCCTGCAAGTTGGACTGTTAGCGGACAAAATGTAAGATTCCGTGATGGAATTCTCGCCTCTCGGAGCGCTCGAATCAAGTCATTTTCCTGCATTTTAAATCGGATGCCGTAGAGATAGCTCATCGGCACATAGACAGTCCGGGTATGTATCCACCAGCGATGAGGATGGATAGGCAGCCAATCAGGAAGGAGCCTTTCAGAAAGTCGAGGCGTTAGTTCAGGTGCCAAAATAAAAACTTGCAAACGGACCAAAGCTCTACAGGGACTGGGTTTACACCAGCCCAATCATACACGTTCAAAATTGCGAGCCAGAATTTGCCCCATGCGGGAGCACCAGTGGCTCCTCCTGTGCTTGGAGAATTAGACCACATACACCAACGAAGACGAGCATGAGCGCACCAAGTTTGTGCAATGTCTCACGGGCTCTTACAGCAGCTGGGTGATCTGCTTGCACACCAAGAATCCGGAGAGCAGTATAATTTAACGCTGTCCCAAAAACGGTCGAGTGTCCTTCAATGTGTCTGTATGGATTTATAAAACAGGACGAATAGCAAATACGACGTTACAAACTTACATTCCCCAACCACCGTCTTCTGGATTAACATGGTTCAGAAGGTAGCGAATCATCTCCAGACGCTCCTCCTCCTTGAAGCTCATGCCAGACACGTATGACCCAATGACAAGGCCGGGGAGAAGGAACATGGGGCCACCGTACTCGCCCGGCCAATGTCCATCATGAGACTGAAGGTGCTTGTAGAATGTATACCCATTGCGGGCGGCATCCAGCGTATCCTTAGGCTTAGGGAGTTCGGGGCAAGTTCTATTCCGTTGAGGACTGAGCGCGATCGCGAGCCAAAATTTGAACAACACACTCACGAGTGGAATACCAATCCAGTACTTGTCTACATCATTCTGAGGCCACTTCTCGCACTCCTCGTCTGTTTGAAGGTAGTGCCATGTGTGCCTTCCACCGTCATTTACCAGCAACCTCCAACGGCTGTAGTCAGTGAAGGGCTTGTTTCCAGACTCTGGAATGTCGAGCTGGGGCCACAATGTAGAAACCTCAGCTTCCGTTGGCATGTACATCATGGTCAGAAAATGAGAGACAATTTAGACGCTAAGATTTGAGGTCTTCTGAAGCTGCTCGTATGATACAGCCAAATAACCAATATTTCAGTTGGTTGAACTTGGTTCATAAATCCGATGATGTAAACAACGCGTCCACAACAGAAATCACGTATTTCTACTGTTCCACGATGGTCAGTTTCCGAGACTCGTCCGTCGTTATCATCGAGTCCGGCAGAACGCTCATCAGAGCAGGCGTTGGCTTGCATGATCTACTCAAGGCGCCATCTGTCGTTCGTATCATCCATTTTCGCATGTGAGATTCCATATATGAGACATGCTACAGGAAATACAAGCTCGCGTCGGTCTGCGACGCAATCCAGGTGAAAGCGCAAATGGTGCATGCTATCTCAAGTCAGGCGAGGGCAGCGATAATCTGCGTCCCTTTGCATCCAGCAGTCGTGTATCGTCTTTGCCTTTTCAGCCTAGTCCCTCGGCGAAGGTTCACGACTATCTCGTCGGCTCACAACTAGACGAGGCTCTTGAAGCTGGTCACGATGTTATCGTCTCATGGCCATTTGCAGATGGTGATGTTCGTGATTGGATTCAAGCGGAGGCACTCTGGTATGTCTGGAATTCTATTTTTGTGTCCTCACCTCACATAGTGTGACCAAGGAAACATGTTCTATTCCATACACTTCAACTCAAGCGAACTCAGAACGAGTCTCCTGTTATGCTGTCCATGCCAGCAGGCCTCTTCAGAGATTCGTCAGAACACATATGTCAGATCTTCTTCGAGCGCTTCAATGTCGCAGGCTTCGGTCTTCTTGACCGCCCTATGGCCCAGCTCTATGCCGCTGGACAGCTCAGTGGAGTCGTGGTCGATATTGGCCACGAAATAACCGACATCACCCCAATTTATGATGGATTCATCATGCAAAACGCTCGTTCGTCTACACCTATAGGCATCAGAGATTGTCAAGTTTACCTCACCAATCTCCTGCGCTCCAATCAGTCAGTCATGGCAGCGGCATCACCTCCAGACAAATCAGGTGACCCAGAGGTTACTCAGAGGTTTTTGGAAGATCTGGTGAAGCATATTTGGATGGAAGGCCTTGTCCGCGTTCCATCAGACGGGCAAACGGTAGATATACCAGAAGATGAAGGGGTCACAGATATAGCGGCAGTTCTCGTTGCTGGCAAGGAAAAGGCCGTGATTGAGACAGGGATGAAAAAAAAGCTAACTGCGAAGGCTTCTGCTGCAGAGCAAGCTCGGGCGAGGGAGATTGAGGCACTTGATCTTGTCACTGTAGAGTTCCGCGGATACTCTGTCACTCTGGGCAAAGAGCGGCATCGATTTTGCGAGCCGCTCTTTGATCCCATGCTGCTGAACGGGCTGCCTATCGAGCGGGTGGATCCTTATGAAGGGAGAATATTGCCTTTGCAGGAGGCTGTTGCATTCTCCGTTCGTCAAACGGATGTCGCCCAAAGGCAATACATTTGGCAAGGTTTGTTTGTTAATGGCGACCTTACAAATTATGTGAAAGGTGCGTGATCATGTACCACTAGTCAAGTTGGAATTGATCATGCAAAGGCATCGGAGCTGCACTGCAGTCGCGGTTAGCGCCTTTTATCCTTAGCACTCCAGACCAAGCAACTGAGGTGCAGCCGCGGTCGATTCGCGTCCTGACCGTGCCTGAATACTTTGCTGAATACCGAGAAAAAGGAGATGGCTTCGCGGCTTTCCTTGGCACTAGTATTGTTGCGAAGGTATGTGTATTGTTCGATCGCATTCAAGGCTTGATGAACCCTTAGATCGCGTTCAATGAGTCACATGGGAAGAACTTTGTGTCGAAGACTGATTAT